TCTTGAAAACACGTTAGATATATCGAGTATCCTGTTGTCTTTTTTGTCCTTTTCGTTGACTAGGACTCGGTTACGAACTTGAAGTCGGTCCTATACGGCTCGAGTTCGAAATGGAGACTCGATATCGGCATCGCATGCCTGTACAACCTCCTGTTTTCTGCAAGCATCAGGTCATTCAAGCCAATGAGGGTGCTTCAGCATGATCCACGTGCGTGCCTCGTAGCCCAATATCGACTCTGGGGGGGGGGAGGGGCAGTAATCATTGTCAGAAAAAAAGACACCAGATTTGTACATATAATTATGTGCCATACCGTAGCGGAAGTGAGTACATCCGTCCCGAGCAACGCCAATCCATTGTCCAACGAGATTACGAAAGTTATGAAAGTTGGTCTCCATACGGTTCGAGTTCAGGAGAGTTCAGGAGAGTTCAGGAGAGTTCAAGAGAGTTCAGGAGAGTTCAGGAGAGTTCAAGATAGAGACCCCGATGACGGAGTCGTATTGTACAACCCCCCTGTTTTCTGCAAGCATCAGGTCATTTAAGCCGGTTAGGGTGCTTGTTTGCGTATCGGCACGAGCGAATCTGTACAATGAGTATGTACCGTACCGTAGCGGAAGTGAGTCCATCCGTCCCGAGCAAGGCCAATCCTGGTCCATTGTCGAACGAGATTACGAAAGTTGGTCCCATACGGCTCGAGTTCAGGATTCGGAGACTCGATGTCGGCATCGCATACCTACGAGCTGTTTTCTGCAAGCATCAGGAGGCATCAGGTTATTCAAGAAGCCGATCAAGTTCCTCCTTTGCGTGTCGGCACGAACGCGTTTCCGAGTGCCCACGTCTTGCTAATACTACACACCGTATAGGTCAGTATGTCGTATAGGTATTAGGTATTAGGTAAAGAGAGGAAGAGAGGAAGTATACCAGGACGCCGAGGGCACGGGGGCGTAGGCCACTGTGTAACGGTGTACTCCCCAAAGTCTTCTCAGGTAGAGGTGCTAAACGTAAACGTAAAACGTCTGAAAGGGCAACTACTACTAGGAGGGCTAGATCGCGGTAGGACTCAAACATCTAGGCGGGGTCCAGTCTCCAGTCATGGCCCATGGGTTCGATACCGTTCGGTAGCGAATACTACCTGCAGGCTGCGCGACGTTCAACGCTTTTCCCTGCCCTGCTTTAAATTTCTTTGATTGTAGGTCCGGGTGCTGAGGAGATAAAGGGGCACGCCAACATAGTTGTATTCCTCCACCCAACGACGGTGGGAGGCGCAGAAACGGGCTAAAGAGTATCCGTTTTTGTCTGTTATACTGATCGTTATGGAGTTGGAGTTGCGGGTACGCCAGAGGTAAAAAGAAAGCGTCGAGTGCGAGTTGTAGTAGGCCTTTCTGGTGTCAGTACAATCAACCATATTGCCACTATATTTCCACGTCATTCGGTGCGAGCCTCATAGCACAATATCGACTTGAACATTCCGGTTATCATTATCAGAAACAGAAGTACCAGATTGCCCATGGTACAAGGGGTCCACCAACTTGAACAAAAGTTAAAGCTAAAAGTAAAGCCGCTCAGACGCCCAATAAACTCACGTGTCCAAATTTTTTGCCCCTCGAGCGCCTTTTTCCAAAACACACCAAAAATCCCGAATCCCGAATCCCGAATGGCTTCTGCGCTCTCGCGAGTGTCTGCGTCTTCGTGTCGACACCTTTCCGCGGGGGACACTGTTGATTTGTGTTCCGAATACTAGAGGTTATGCGAATCCTTCTGATGGTGAGTACGAGTATCCCAATTCGAAGTTTGGTTTCGTTCTACGAAACTACTACTACTACTACAACTTCGACTACACTCTTGGATTAACTATTACTACTACACTCTTGGACTATTGAATCTTGTACTGACTACTGACTACCACCCACGCAGCAAACGTGACCAAATCATTCAAAATCGGAAACGTCGCAGGAGGGCGGTAGTGACGAAGAACAAGAAGGCTTTTACTAGGAAGAACAGAGTTGGGGTGAGTTTACTGCCTCTCCATAATCAAATACACGCTAATTCTTTATCTAACCACCTTTCACATTATTGCCAGGCCTTCCGTTCCCTCCCCGCGGCCCAACTAAACCTGCCCATATTCCAATCAACACCACCGCTTCCTGCTCCCAGTTTCAAACCGGTACGTGCGACCACCCAGTTGTTCCAGACGCGTTTTACTGATTCTGAAATATGTTTATTGTAAATGTTTATAAATGAAACAGGAAGTCGTAACAGAAAACACAATCGGGACAGTATTCGCGTTTGACGAGACGAAGAATGATCCTATCAAGCATTTTGGGACGCCCAAGTCGATGTTGCTTGAGGTACGAACATAAGTATCTCCCCTTGCTTGTTGTTTTAACCCTCCCTTTTTGCTTGTCTCCAGTACCGTCTCCTCTCGCAACGCTACTCCGTCATCCGCGACATCACCGTCATCACCACCGAAGAACTCGAAGAAGCAGCCCTCGAACCAAGCCACCAATCCAACTACGTCCTAACTGGCCCAACGGGGTGCGGGAAAAGCTTCGTGCTGCTGCAAGCGGTGCAGTATTGTTTAGCGAAGGAATGGGTTGTTATATATATTCCGAGGGGTGCGTTTCCTTCCTTCCTACTTCTTGCTTTGCTATCACAAAGTGCTTATCCTAATATTGACATTATCTATATTTATTCTCGCAATGCCAGCCAAAACCCTCGTCAACTCAACAACAATGCACACCTACGACCTCCGCACACGCACCTACTTCCAGCCCAAATTCGCACAACAGCTCCTCCAACGCACCCTCGACGTCAACTCCAAGGTCCTAGAAACCATGACCATGCGCGAAGGCGTCAACTTTGACCGTCGGTCCTTCCCCGCGGGCACGACCCTCGCTGCGTTAGCAGCAGGCGGCGCAAAAGAACAGGCGATCTCGTCGGTGGCGTTTGAGACGCTTATTGGGGAGCTGTGTGCTCAGAGCAAGTGCGTGTCTCAATATAAACCCATCTCTTAAAATTCTTACTCATCCCTTGTGTAGAATCCCCATCCTCCTCGCAATCGACGACTTCCAAGCCCTCTACACCCCCAAGTCCTCCTACCGCGACCCGCACTTCTCCGCCATCCGCCCCTACCACCTCGCCCTCCCGCGCATCCTCCTCGAGCTCGCCTCCGGGAAGCGCTTCTTCCAGCGCGGCGCCGTCCTCGGCGCCCTCACCACCACCGACCCCAAGTTCCCCGTCACGCAGGAGCTCAAGGAGGTGCTGGAGCTCCCGATTGGGAAACCGAGGAGCGCGTATGGGAGGAGGTCGCGGGTGCTGGAGGAATATGCGGAGGGATGTATGAATTTGCCGGTGCCGGAGCAGTTTAGTGTGAAGGAGGCGGCGGCGGTGTTTGAGATGTGGATGAAGGATCAGGCGTTGACTGCGCGTGGGTACTACTTTTCCGTTATCTGTGAACTCGCTAACATGGCTCTCTCTTTTTCTTTCTTTCTTTTTTCATCTTTGATACAGCCGCCAACGACGAAGTCTTTTTATCAAAATACACCGAATCGGGAGGGAACCCCAAGGCGTTTGTGTGGCAGGGGATACTGGGTACATTGGAGGGTGCGTCGCCGGAAGATGTAGATGAGAGTGTTCCGTGGCCACAGTTACGAGAAGGGCGGGTGCCTCTAGCTCTATAAGCTCTATAATCCTCGATAATCCTCTATGATACAATCAGATTTAGAGTCAAAGTCTTTGGCCTCCCTCGTTGCTGATGATAGAAACCAAAACCAGAGAGGTGGAAAGAAAGTAATTGCAGCAGCGTATCCTACACTATCGCCTATCGCTATTCTATATCATCTTCACCAGACCCCATCTGACTGAGAAAAAGCCCATCCATCGGACCTACACAAAAGTCAAAGTCGTGAGCCATCGCCACAGCATTCGAAAAACACAAAAACACATATATGGATATGCAGACACACAACAACACAAAAACAACAAAGGGAAACACTCACGTCCTCCATTAAACCCAACCGCATGCTTCCCCCTATACGCCGACGCCAGCGTCCGACTCGGACTCGGCGTCGGCGGCATCGTCGACGTCGACGACGACACAGACGTGTTTTCCACAGGCGGGACGGTGTATCGTATAACCCGCGACGGCGAGCTCACAGGCGAGGGCGGGTAATGCAGATGCGGGGTTCTGGATTGGCCGGGGGAGTAGGAGAATAGTTTCGGTTTGGATGTTGGTGTGGACTGTATATATAATAATAATGATATATGGAGATCTCAGTATGTATACAGATTTTGAGGATATAAAGAAGAAAGAAAGGAATGTTTGCGTACATTAGGAGACAATATACTGAACGGTTTCTTCGCAGAAACCGGGGACAGTATCCCCACCGGCCTTTGGGACTTGCCCTGGCTTCTTCACAGGCGAAGAAGGGAGTGGTTTTGCAGGGTATCGTAACGCGTACAGCGCAAGAAGCAGGTTCGCTGAAAGGACGGCGACGATGCAGAGCTCTACAAAACAAACGAAAAAGATATAAGAATACTGAAACGTTTCTCGAAGTTTTAGACCACTCACCAAAAACACAAATCACCTTCGCCACCCCCCAATCCCTGTCATTCTCTCCATCACCGATAGTCTCCGGATCGCAGAGAACACAGAAGGCACAGGAAGCAGCCACGTAGATATGAAAACAGAAATCAGCCCAAACGCGTTCGCTCGTAGCCGAACCACGGTGGAAGAAGAAGTCATGGGTGGAATCTCCGGAAAAGGAAATTTCGACTGTGGGTCACGGTATCTCGGAATAACTCACAATACTCACAATACTCACAATACTCACAATAGCTCATCGATAATTCATCATGTATTTCAAAGCTTAAGCGCTTAAGGCTTACAAGTACTTCTGAGCTCCAGGACTCTGTTCAACAAAAAAAAAAAAAACTGGATCGAGTGTGAAAAAAGACGAAAATGGTAGAAAAAACCTACAAAGGTTCAACAAGCCGTAGTGATTTCCGACACGGGGAATCGAACCCCGGGCTATCGCGTTCACCAGACACCTGGGATGAAATCCATGAGAGGCGATAATGTTAGCCACTACACCATATCGGAATGCATTTAACCCAACTTCATTTGCTATCTACTATACTTGCCGCTCCCATTAGGCCCGCAGAAAACTGCACGAAAAGGACAAAAAATATATATGAAAACAGGGGCATTCCGAGACGGGGAATCGAGCCCCGGGCTGTCGCGAAAAGGATATCCCCAGATAAATATGAGAGGCGACAATGTTAGCCACTACACCACTCGGATGCATAAAACCCAGCTTTCTGCGCTATCTACCATATTTGCCCCTGCCACTCCCATTAGTAGGCCCCTCCAGGACTTTTGAAAATCCCACCGGATCGTTTATTGGCAAAAAGACAAAAAGACGAAAAATTACTAAAACATCACTAGTGCACTATTCGGAGACGAGGAATTTTAATTGAACCCCGGGCTGTTGCAAAAAGACTCAGACCCTTGGAATATGAGAGGCGACAAGGTTAGCCACTACACCACCTCGGAATGTATTGGAATCCAGCTTCATTCACTAATGATCTACCATCTTTTTCACTCCCCATTAGGCCGGACTCTATGTAGTATGTATGCCCGAGATCTTTGCTACCGCTCTGCAAAACCGCACGAATACATCTCGACAAACCCCGGAGAAACGAAAGGAGCAGCTGAAACCCCTTCCACCACTGTTCCGGATGATGGATCGCCATTAAAAGATTGTCCGCCCATCCTTTGCTTCCCTATTCAGATTCTTCCCTGATCTACAAACATCATGATACCTCCTTATACCTCCATGATACCTCCATGATATCTCCCCGTTTCCAACCCATTTCAACTTTCACGGCCCTACTTATTCAAGTAAGTACCCTTCCACTACCCTTCCCCCCTTCCCTCTTTCAGAACAAGGGATTCGGGAACAGTCGGGAACCCAATAATCACCCTAGTCATCACCCTAGTCACCCTAGTCATCATCGTTTCATCAGCCCATCTCCATCATCCCTTAGGACTCCCTTAGGCTGTATTATTTCGATGAACCCAACCACTGAATTTCACAAGCATTTCACATCCAGCTAACCAGAGCTAACCCCGTATCTGCTACTACGGGCAACTTCGGGCCTCTTCGGGCCCAACACTGCCCACGATTAGACAGGACCAGGACTGGACTGGACTGGACAGGATTGCACTCGGATCTTTCTCCGCAAATCGCAAATCGCATCCCACTCCAGACCACTCCACGTAGTTTTCCTAGGCTTTCCTCCCGTTTCGGATAGTTTCGGATCCTTGGAGCTCCTTGGAACTGAAAACAAGACACGCCAAATCCAGTATTTTGAATCATCAATCGACGATGAACCCTCTTTGGATTTTCATCCTCGTTCTTACAGCTTACAGGCTCATTTTGGTAAGTAAATAGGCTACCCGAACAGCCGAGGTACTTACACACTACACGCTACACATATCGCGCCCAGGGTATGTGCCGTTGGTTCCTGCAAGCTTACGACCTCGTCAAAGAACACGAATACGATGCTGAAAATAAGGCAAGCCAGTGACGTTGATAGATACGCCACTAGGCAATACGGACGGGCGCATCGGTACTAGTTTATTGTTAGTACAGAATCTAAGTTTACACTGAAAGGCGTTCAAGTACGGTCAGATATTATCCTGTTCATGTATGCTCCAAAAGTCCGTCCTCGGCACCCACAGTTCCGCCCCAGCGTCGGAAGTCACGTATTAGGAGGTCGTTTGTAGGTAATAATAATTAATATCAACAACGTTGGAGTATCCCTTAGCTTTGGCTTTGGCGACGATCCACATGCCTTTTCTACGCACCCTTTCCCAGGAAGGTATCAGTGTAAGCACAGAGTTACCTTTGTACGACAAGAGGGGCCTTGATCCCCCGTTTTCGCGTTACAAAACAAACCAGACAAGGCGCCACCCTCCCCGAATCAGGATATATGGACCCGTACGCGTAAGTTCTCTCTCTAGCGCAAGGCGCTCAGGCGCTCAATCACCAAGTTATGCTCAGACGAACGTAACCAGTTACCAACTTAAACGTGTGAATGCATCCCGGTGTTTAGGGCACCTTTATATGAATGGAGGTGCAGCCTGAGGGAAAGGGGCCAAGGGCAGGACTCACACTCAGTATCGAGTTCTCGTTCTTACACTTGTTCAATATACTCGTTATACTGTGCTTGATTATGGAGAAGGTTATAGCTGCGCTCGCCGACATAGCGAAGGTATAGGGTAGGCTCGAGTCTCGAGGATCCATGAACTTGAAATGACACTCACACCACATAAATTTCCACTTCAGCCTGACTAAAGTAGGCTGCGAAATACAGCCTTTCATCAGCCTGCTGAAGGATGTTCTTTCAACACCAGATCATCCAATCAGAACCGCGAGATTCTGAATGAAAGGAAATATTTCGAGCCATCTTCGAAACCAATAATTTCGCACTCAACTTCAGTCAGGCTGAAGTAGAACAATGAGCGTGGTGACTTGCCTCCGAGTCGCATAAATTTACAACCACCCCTTCTAAGTTCTTTAGCACTAGCTCTTTTTTCTTATCCGTTCCGGGTCGCGTGGCATGTCCCGATTCCTGAACAGCGCACACGACTGGGACGTGAAGGTGGGAAGGTGGGGACATTACGGTGTACTGTACCAAGAATAAGTCGTTGAACCAGTTTTTGAGGGGTGACCAGTGACCATCGACGGAGAGCAGGAACACGTTCTCCCAATCTTCTCCGCTGCGCTTCTAGCTCAGGACTTTTTTGAAAAAAAAAAGCTTTTGTTTTATTAGCAAAAGACAAAGAGAACTAAAAAAATCGCAATTACGACTTATTCCGACACGGGGAATCGAACCCCGGGCTATCGTGATCTACATGCTGAGAGATATCATGATATGATGTGATGATATGATATTTCGCGGCCCAGTCAGTGGCATTTGCCAGCTGAAAGTGGTCCCTCAAGGGAAGCAGCCAGTCCCTACGCCAGTGCAGGCAGCAAGCTCAACTCCCGTAGAGAAGGTAGACTACGAGCCCGATGCAGGGATGATAGCAAGGCCATATACATAAGTACAAGGCTAGCTGTTACAACTACTGACTACCTATCTACTGCGCAATGGAGCACATTCCACCCCAATAAAAGAGAGGGAGGGTGATAGGGCAAAACCAGGTCTCCATGCAGGCGTAACCACACTGTGGCCTTAAAGGCTCTTGCGAGATCCTGGGCGGCTTCCCGTGCTATCCCTATTTGCACAAGTCACCAAATCCCACGCAACCGTGGCGAAACCGGCGCACCAGCACCCTAGGGTTTCATGTGAACACAAGGAGCATTTGTACGCAATCAACGTGGTTCGTTGAAAGTCCAATCTCCCTCCACCTCTTTGCAACCTATCACAGTATCACCCCAGTTGAAGAACAGATCGGTTATGTGAGCAAAGTCCCCATCAATGAGCTGGATGGGGTGCAAAGGTCGGGAATAGGAAATGTGTATAAAATATGGCAGCCCATGCAAAGAGTCATAAATTCTGCCAACTCAAAAAGATGAGAGAGCGAATGGCTCAAGAGAGGAGCGCTTTGTGAAGGAGGAGCGGGCCACCAGGAGCCATAGCAGATGAACAAGGGATGGGAGATCGCACAGTCCCAAGGACAAGCCAGCCTCTGTCAGCACTCACTTTCAATCTGATAATTTTAGATGGTAGGGGGCTGATGTATCAGAGAACCGGGAGTGCTGATTGTAACAAGAAGGATACAGAGGCTGTAGCCAGGTAGAAGGGAGAGGCGATAATGTTAATAATGTTAGCCACTACACCATATCGGAATGAACAAATTTGAAACTTCATTCACCATCTGCCATGCTTGCCTCCGGTGCTGAGATCTGTGTCCGTAGTTCCCCGCCACTCTGCACTGAGACCGCATGAAAATTTCATCTTGACAGGCAAGCCCGAAGAAACAAAAGGAGAAACGCAAGGAGCAACTGGAACCCCTCTGCTGTCCCAGATCGCCATTTATGGGATGTCCGCCCATCCCATCCCATACTTACCTGTTTCACGGCCGGGCTATTGAAGCTCTACCCTTCCCACTTTTTGTGCTGCAACATCTCTTGTGCCACATATCTTCAAAGGCTCAAGGAGGGGCTCTCTCAACAATGCTACTAGTTGACCAAGTCAGTCAACTCACCAGTTCTCTTTCTTACACCGAGTCTTTCTCATGCCTTTGCATCAACACTCCTTATTAATCATGAACAGACCCCGGGTTTCTTTTCGCTACATCAAGTATGGGGCTTGTAAGTATATCCAGGTATATCCCCACGGCAATTAACTTGGAAAGGCCAAAGCGATCTTTATGAAATCTATATTTGGAAATTGGAAATTAACGTGCCAATATTTGCCATAAGCCAAAATACACTTTAAGTCAGGACTTTTTGAAACGCTGACTGCGTTTGTTGGCAAAAGATGAAAAAGAACACAATTGAAGCAGTGACATCCGACAAATTTCCGATACGAGGAATTGAACCCCGGGCTATCACGTCTACATGAGAAACGAATGGCGTGATCACGAGAGGCGATAATGTTAGCCACTACACCACATCGGAATGTGTTGAATTTCAGCTTCATTTGCCATCTACCATACTTGCCACTCCAGTCGGTGCTGAGCTGCATAACTGCATGAAAACATCTCAACAGGCAAGCCTGAAGAATTGAAAGGCACTGGAAAATGAATATTCCCCACACAAAGTAATACCGCCGAAGAGAGAGGGACTTTGACAGATTGAAAGAGGAGTTGAGTGGAAAAAGATGGCGTGTGAATTAAACGTCGGGATCATTTGTTGGCAAAATACGAAAACAAAGTTCATAGACACCGAATTTCCGACACAGGGAATTGAACCCTGGGCTATCGCGTCTAAAAGGGTGGACTCAAGAAACCAATGAGAGGCGATAATGTTAGCCACTACACCATATCGGAATGTGTTGGACTCCAGTTCATTCGCCATCTTCGATACTTTCTCTCGGCCTAGATCGCCATCACTGAGCAAAATTGCACGGCGACGAATAAATCTCGACAAGCAAGCCCGAAAAAACGAAAGGAGCAGCTGAAACCCTTCTGTTGTTCCGGATCGCCGTCTACAACCATCATGATACCCCGTTTCACGGCCCTATTGAAGGTTCTACTCTGTTCTACCCCTAATAGGTGAAATCCTGTGAAATCACTTTAGTTGGAGTCATCAGCCATCTGTATCATCCCCCTTAGGAGCCCTTATGCTGTATCGAGCATCATCCGATGAACTCGACCACACAGAATTTCACATCTAGCGAACCCTAAATCTGCTATTACCGCCCAAGGATTGGACTCTGATTTTTCTCCGTAAATCTTTCATACTACTTGGCCACTCCACGTAGCTGTCATCCGGTTTCGGATGCTTGGAACAGAACACGAAACGCCAAGGCATTTCGATGAACCCTCTTTCAATGGACTTTCCTTATTCATACTCATTGAAAGTCTTCTTTCAAAGCGTCTTGCGTACGCACTTGCATATAGCCGCCGCAACATAACTTCCAAAGAGGGTTCTCTTAACGTGCTCGTGGTAACTCACTAGTTTTTTCTTGTGCCAACCACGCTCCTTTCGTTCTTCAACCGATTGGATCGAATCACTTTGTAGGGGTTGGGTTATGGCTTGTAAAACATTCCACGGTAATCGACGGATATGAATACCATAGCCTAGACCTACCTAGACTCTTTCAGATCTTGGCGTTACGGAAGGGTCAAAGCGTTCTTTACCAATCCATATTTGGAAATAAACAACCGTATTCACCATAACTGATTCATCACCTAACAAACAACCAGCACCGAATAGTTAGGATACATTTAAGACAATCGACCAACCATTAATATTTAATATTACTATGACCTATTTTTTTTTACTCGAAACCATGCAAGCAGAAGCTTCTAAAAATATTATCGTAAAGCATCAAAGCCAATGCAAGAAACAAGGAATAGGCTTCTAGGAATTAATTTAAGTGAGAAGAAAAAGTGTAAGAGTAAGGATGCCGTGTCCATACTAGTTACTCTGATCCACTTCAAGTAACCCCTTGGAGCATATTAATCCATGAGCTTATATAGCACTGAGCGTGTGCTGCATCTCCATATACCCCCTTCCAATCCATTCTTGCGGCGTCACGCGTTCGTCGTTGTGCGTGTCCGATGCGAAGAGCAGGTCATTTTCAGGCGCAAAAGCCCACCGGGCGGGATCAGGTGCTGGAGTCGAAGTCAACGCTCGAAGTTCGTTACCTAGAACATGGGCGGGTTGGTTTTAGAAAGTTGAGAAGGAGGTTCATTTTTAACTTACGAATGATATTCCGAGTAAAGTGGTCCAAGTTCTGGAATACCTCAAGTCAGTTAGACAACTCAATGCGTTGTAAGAGATAAACACCGACAAGGTCGTTGAGATCATAGCCAAAAGGATCTAGCGTAACGCAAACGCAAGCAAGAGAATAACGGCATGGATCAGCATACTGCGCACAAAAAACGTGTTGCTCGACACGGTACGTCGCGAACACCGATGAGATGAGAGCTTACTTTCGATTTCCTCCCCGGCAACCAGGAACCCAAAGAATATAAACGCCAATATGACCGTCGCGGGGATAGTCTTCCATCCCAAGGTGGCCCAGATTTGGGGAGGCTGGGCGTGGCGGACAGAGGTAACATGTGGAGTTGAAGTGGGGGATGTAAAAATCCGGAGCATGTGGCACGCCGTTAGGAATGAATGAATATCCCGCATGCCAAAGTATACCACCGAGGAGAGCGAGTGAGAGTGAGGGACATTGACAGATCGAAAGAGTAGTCGGATGCAAAGGTGGCGTGTAAATTAAACGTCGGACGAGCAACAAGGAACAATGGCATAAAACGATAACAAAACGACGGGAATGAAGATAAATTCATTAATGAATTAGAAAGGACGCTTCAGCATGGAGGGTGAAGCAACCACTTACGAGAGCGAGGACATAGATGACAGCGACAGCCCATAAATGGAACGAGTAACTAATTGCACACTGATCGTTAGCTGACAAAACTTGACATGGCTCCAGCGATGAATGATGAAAAAGATCCAAAGATTCCAACCTCTAAAAGGCACAGAAGAAAAACCGAGGGAAGGGGATACCCGACAGGACTGAGAAACATAAACATAAAAAAAGTCAAACGAGCACAGCGGATCAACATTCAGCGGAATTAGGCGAAGGAGCTCGGGACAAGGTAAACAACGAGGTCAAATATAGGACCCAAAAACAGGGGAGATCAGCCTCAGGCGCAGTCATGAAAAGATAAATACAGACAGAGAACAAATCATGGCACGGAAGCCCGCAAAGGAGAGATGGGAAGTAAGTCACGTACGAGAAGGGTATCGGCGTCGTCAGAATTCGCTCTAGCCCAGTTAGACTATCGACTAGTTGATTCAAGGCGGCGAGCATGGTGTCTGAAAAGAAGGTTTACCAATGATCGGCAAGTAAGGTAAGCCAATGTTTGGAAAACTTGCAACTGAACGTACTGGTAGTCGGAACATCGTTAACCTTTCGCTGTTGTAGAGCTGATATATAGGAACTCTGTTAACAGATAGGTAGGAAAACTCTCCAAGCAACCAAAGATAGATTCCAGAACTTACCAGATACAACGAAATCTCCAACGGTAAATTGTGCGAGACCGCGTTATTTCTCATCTTCGCTCTCAACTTCGCCGCCTTCTTTCCCTTCACCTCCTTGCCCCGTTTCGTCAGTACCTTAACGAGTAGCGAAAACGGGAACAAATCGAACAAGTGGTACTTGGGTGGCATTTTGGCAGGAAAGAGGAAAACTTCGTCAGATTTGTGCAAGATCACTCTCTCTGCTGGTTCTTCCGATATGGTAGACTTGATATCGGAGCTGACTTTTTCGGACTCTCGGGGACGCTCGAGTGACAATTGGGGAGGCCGAGGCGCAGCCGCCTGGGAACCGTTCGACCTGAAGGAGATGTGCGCCGCTGTGACAGGGAGGGGCAGGTGGGAGTCGGAGCGCGCGCCAGAGCCAATACGTTGAGTTAGGAAGGTACCGTTGTTGCGAGAAGCGTCCGAGGGACGACGTAGGGAAGGTCGTTGAGTGGAAGTCGATCTTGGAGAGCCAGGAGGAGATGGTATCGTGTTTTCATTATTGATGAGATCGGGGTTGGAAGGAAGACCTGTAGGAAGAGCGTAGGCTGGAAGGAACTTGACGAGATAGTACAAGTCCCTATGATTTGGTCAGTATGATTACTTTACGATATGTAATGACACATACTCATAGTAAATTCCGTCCTCTCCTCGAAGGTAATGCTTTACTGCTACGCTAAAAGCCTCGATGAGACTTGAAAGAAAGAAGGGTTGAGAACGGAAGATTATCATAACAACATCGAGCTCACTTGATTACAGTCTTTTTTTCAATCATGGCTTTAGCCTTCAAGAGCTCCGCGGATTCAGTGGGGGTTGCTGGTGGATCTATACGGGAAAGGAAAAAACTAAGTCATAAGATCCAAAGGTTTGCCAAAGCCGCGTACCAGGAATATGGAACCAAACCGTCCGTGCAAATGTCCTGCTTGCCAAAACAATTTGACTCCAGAGGCGTCGTCCTTCGTTGTACCTTTGAAATCGATTTAGCATCCATCATGATTTAATTCCAGAGGCGCGCACCTTTCGAATGATGATGTCGTGCGGTATGATATCACAAAACCAAGAACTGTTCCAACTCTGGACGAAAAGGTAAGCCGCCTTATTGCACGAGGTTGGAGTCCAAGCCTCACACAGTCAACAACGTAGGCTGAATGATGAGTCTGTGCCCCTGTGCGTTTAAGACACTTATCAAGGACGCCCATGCAGCAAAGAAGATAACTGTTGTACTTGGATCAGCCGACAGCGCCTTCACAACTTGGAGAGATTTGAAACGATCAAAAACGCGATGCAACGTTCGATATTTCCTTTACAGTAAACAAAATGAAAGAAAAGCTCACGTATATGCCAGCACCTAAACAAAGCCGTAGCCAGTAACGCGCTGACGAGCGATGATCCTGTTCGTTGCCTTCCTGCATAAGGGTCAGAAACTGTTTTGAAGCCCTTATGCGAGAGTGTTCCCGTCCGCTTCAAGCCAAAATCCTTGAAAGTCATCCAGAATTAGTGGGAGATGAAGGAACTGAAGAAAGGATGAAACCTTTCGCGTAGCACCCGCTGGAGAAATCACTGAAATACCTGGCCCTGACATCCGTCAGTAGTATAGACAAGGAAGTTTTCTCTCTTTTTTTTGGCTTCCAGCTCGAAAGTGTTGTGGAGAGCGTCAGGACTCTCAAGTAAAGAGCGGAGGACACTTAGGAGTAGGAAGAAAGGAAGGAAAAGTATATAAGTAAAGCAAGAAGCAAGTTATCCGCGTGTGAATGATCGAATATATGTACCTATCACTCAACAGTTGAACAGCGCCAAGAGTGTTGCAGGGGCAATGACCTGCAATGACTGGGCAATGACTGGGTAATGTGAGGCGATGTGGGACAGATACATACATTATGTACATAAGGCAGGACCAGATATAAGAAGACAATGTGACCAGGCTTTTAAATTCGTTCAAACCAGACCTCCGCTCTTTCTTGAACTGTTTCGCCTACGGGTCCGCCTACACCTGGCCCGGCGCCCCAAATCCCACCGGTCACTCCAAACCCTAGCATATTACTTTGTTCTGAGTCAAGAGCAAACTCGACTGTCATGAGGTCTACCCTTCTTGTAAGGTCATACGCCCAATACTTCTGCTGCAGTTCCGAGTGAGACTGATCGCCGTCAATTACAGGCTATACGACGAGTCAGAAGCGTCAGGGGAGCTCGAGCAGGAGAGAATAGTGGAGATACTTACGAGACTCTGATAGATTGAAACATTGAATAAGTTTCCACTAAAGTGTTGCAAATAAATGTGCGTCACCCAAAT